CTGCTGCATGGCTGTACATCTTATTTTAGCATTTGGCCAATTTAATGAGTCCTTAAATGATATATTACCTACTGGAAATGAAGTTATAAAAAAAAATTTACAAGAAGAAAAGGTAAAAAGCTAATTGAAAAGTTATAAAGTAAAGTTAAAAAGTTAATAAGCCTAGTTAACAACTATATCTAGGTCTATAAACTAAAAAAAAAAATCAGCATTAATGCCTCTAAGTTTATGTTGGACCAAATACATTTTTTTCTTTCACTCTCAGAGTGTTTTTCCTTTATTTCTTATAAAAGTACTTTTGTTATTTTTCTTAATATATTTGGGAAAGTTGGCGTTTCTTGTTATTCATTTTTGCCATAAAAATATCCATATTTTTTCTATGTTCCAAAGGTAATAAGGTCTTTTCCTTGATTGCAATAACTCTATTGGCTTGAAATTTGTGTTTTTAAAGTATTTCACTGAGGCCCCTATAAAGGGTTAATCCTCCTCTGATAATGATCCAGTTCTGGTCCTAAAAGGAATCCAAAAATAAAACCTCCCTTTAGAAAACCCAGAGAACAGTTTCTCCGGAGCGTTTTAAATCGGAGGATTATTAAATCTTTTCTTTAGCATGTTGATTGGGTTCAGGTTTGCCGTCTTATCAGCACCATCAGCTGTTCCGTGCTCTGATCGTCCACCTCTGACCAGGTGTGTTTTATGGCCGTAATATTTGATCAGATGTTTGTTCTGATGTCCTGATTCCTGCTCATTGAGCTGATCAGGCAGAAGAAACCATGAGAGTTCAAGCCTTTTATTACAAAATTAACATATTTTTATTCTTGAATCATGAATCCATGGTTGCATTTCCTGACCTGAAAATGTTTGAATTTAAATAAACTTTATATGTTGCCCTTAATTCAAAAATCATCAACACTTATAGAATTAAACAAAAAGGTCAATGTTTTATAATGAAAATTAAATAAGCGTCATTATTTTTGCTACATTAACAATAAATTTACTGCTGCAGAAATGTTAAAAATCCAAAGATTGGCAGCTAAACAACTAACCTCAAGCAGAGGGCAGGACTTTTACGCTGCATCGTTATGTTACGTTCAGACCGCACATGATGAAGCAGCTAGTTTACATGCTAACTCAATGGTTCACCAGCATCCAGGTGCATTAAAAGGTCCTGCAGCGTCTAGAGCAGCAGGAGCAGCGCCTCATGAGCCTCATGAGCTTCTGAGGCTCAGGATGCGCTGAAAAAGCAGCAGCTGCTGGTCGATGCGCCGCATCAACCAATGAGAGAAGCTGATCTGGGAGCTGGCAGGGAGTCAGACGCAGCACTTCTGATGCAGAGCGCTATGATCACTCCTCTGAAACAGTTTATTAACGCCTAAATTAACTTCAAATGTAGAAACCTGCCGGCAGAATATGTTGGCTTTTATTATCCTGCTGCCTGCAGTTTGGATTACGTACATTAAAAACGCTAACATCTACTTCCAACCGCCATTAAAAGTAGGGGAAAACCCCAAGAGGCGAGCGGTGTAGGTACCAGATTTGCTCGGGGCCCCGCCCCTCCTTATGACGTCACCATATGGCAACTCCACTCGGACAAACTATTGCAACCGTTTCCTAAGGATCGAATCTCTTTTGTAGTCCCAACAGATTATTACCTATATTTGCTATTATTTTACATTTTATCAGCGATCTAAAGTAGCTGAAAGTAGAAAACAATCACTGTCAGTCTGGAAGGAAAGTTCTGCCTTCTAAGGCTGAGCTCTGCCATTTAATAAGGTAACAAATAAAGTCTTAGCTTATCTTTATTCTTTTATTAAGATTGGAGGGCAGAGGACAAAAAATGACTTTCGTGGAGATTTTAGACAAATAAAACCGTTATTTTACTTGTAGAATAACAAACGGTTGTTGTTGAAACAAATTTAAAAGTAGTTTAGCTTAACATGGCTAACTGACGAGCTAAAAGAGGCTAACCTGTTAGCTACTGAGCACAGCTAGCCACAGCGCTACCCAGCTCTCCTTCTTTATATCATGGTCTACTTTTTACCTTTATAAACAATTTTTTGTTCAGTTTTGTTATCGATCAAGTAAAACTTCATCGATCATTAGACACGCTAACGCTACAGAAGCTCCCGCCTCGGCACACGGATGCTGTGTGATGTTATTATGTGTGATGTTATTATGTTATCGTTGTCTGGGCAACCACAATGTTTTACATCATGTGGCAACGTTCAGCCAATCATGTAGCATCACTGTCAGGAAGAAGAGATCAGGTGGGATTCCCAGTGACAGCGCAGCGCCGGTATGTGGGGGTCTGAGCGGCTCCCACAGAGAAATAATCTTTGAA